GCAAATTATGAACTTCCAACCAATCAGTGATTTTCTGCATAAAAAAAATATCTGCTGATCTGATCCAGCCAATAAGTTGTGTTAAAGTGTAGTTTAAATTTAAATATCCATTTACACGTTCATATTTTTTTCTTGATACGGGCATTATAATAGCAGAAATATTCTGTTCCAGGTTTTTGTGATGTGGAAAAATGGATCAAGATAAATCATTTCAAATGTTGTAGCTGTGTTTAGAATTAGATCAGTCATTGAAACTCAACTGCAGCCATTAAAGTGCCTCTAATTAACATTCCAATATGCTTTCTTGACATTTTTCTGTACCTAATTTTTTCACCAATGCACGTTTTGCATTGAAAGGAAAGCTTTTAACCAGATGTATGTGGCCATTGTAGAATTTGCCTAAAATGAAATCCATTTCTCACATTTGACAGTTGATGAGAACTAAGTCAATCCCTTCGGTGTTGTCAAGATGATTATAAAGAGCGACTTCAAATGCTTCTGTTCCACGCTGTTCGGCTTCCCTGCCTTAATGCTATTGTGGAAGTGCTCCACCGGTGATATAGGCTATCGTTTGCGGTTTCTCTCATCGAGAGCGAAGAGCAAAAAAACAATCTGTTGATTTTTGAGGCACACACGGAGAGCTGAGATCAACTTCGCTTCGCCTCGCTGTACTCCATGCGGTGATTTTTGCCGCGAAGCGATTTTTGTGATGAGCAGTTTCCGCAGTAACGTGGTGGTGGCGGCGGCACACTGCTCTCTTTCTCTCCGTCTCTCATGTTTGGGGTGATAATGTGCATATTGTATGTGCCATAGGTTGTATCCTCAGTTTCACAATGTGACACTCTTGTGTCATGTCGATCATGTATTGTCGCACAGCCCTGCGTTCCAAAATTACAACTTACTTTAAATTAAAGTTGGATCGTCATTTTGAACTTGAACCGGAAGTGAACATAACCTCCCACTGCCCGCACGCAAAAGTAACGCATAAATGTTGCGGCTGCACCCAACAAAGCGTGAGTGGTTTGAAAGTCCGGTGCCCACAATTGTCATACCAAGTTCGTTTTACGCAAACAAGTCAGAAAGACAACAAAGACTTGGTAGAACGAGGAGGAAGTTTTGTTTTTGTTTTGATTGCTGCAGTTTTTCTCCACGTTCCTGCCCCTGCTTGACTCTTCTCCAGCTCTGATTTTTCACTTCATGTCAAAAGCGGCTTTGTTGCCGCAGTGGCTCTTGATTCTCCGACACAATTTTTTTGCTCGCTCGCGTGCACACGCTCCCCCTAGCCAAGTGGCTTTCTTTCCGTTCATCTTGTAATCTTTTAACATCTTTAACTTTTTTTTCTTTGTTGGAAGTTTTCCCAGATCTCCTTCTTCGTCATGTTTGCGCAGGCCTTTTACTCCTTTTGGAGCCTCCTATCACATTCTGTGACATCTATTAGCTTTGCAGCCAAGGCTATCATTTGCACAAGGTTCACCAAGTGGCAGGGTCTGACCCCCCACGTACAACCTTCAACATCTCATTATCAGCTATGCCGTCGTTCTCTCCTGTCTTTTTATTTCACTCCCTGTGCTTTCTGTATTCCCTGCCCTACCTGAAGGAAGTACGCTTGTGTCTGTGCGTGCGTGCGTGTGTGTGTGTGTGTGTGTGTGTGTGTGTGTGTGTGTGTGTGGGCGCACGTTTTGAGCAGCACATCCGGAAGGAAGCAGCTCCTTCAGAGAGGAAGATTTGAGTGGAATCTTTCATATTCACCGAGCACAATCACGTCTCCAAAGTATGAGGTACAGAAATATAATCATATAGTGTACACTATTAATGTTGCCATTTTAATAAATTGATCATGTTTTAAGTATACTGTATGTATCATCATCTATATATCATACTTAATGGAAAGTGCAGAGAGAACAGTATCTCGCACCCATTTCAGTCCTGATTTTGATGGGATTCATTACCATTTAGTGTTTATTGCTTATGAGGGTCTGCAAATTGCTTTATCAACGAGATAATTACTAAAAAGAAAGAAGAAACAGAACTGTGAAAAATCAATTTCAAGCACTTATTCGATTTAAAAACATATTTCCAGTGCAGATTTTTTTTTTTCTTACTTCCGAACAATAGCTGCAAAGTCCAAACTTATTTCCTCGGCAGGCTCTACAAATTACTGATGCTGATGTTGAAGGGTTGCTTAAATCCTTCACTGATGCATCACAAGCAATCGCTCGAACCGCCACTGAAAGTAAACGGTCCTGTCCACCCTAATTCCAAATGTCTCGCTTGCTTGGACTGACGCATTTATCATTTTAGGACTACATTTTCCTCCTCCTAATTTGTTCATTCATCATCATATGCTTTCTTTTTCTTGTCGCATGACACCGTGCTGATCTCAAAAGCTGCCGCTTGCCAAAATATATCCAGACAAACACGGGTACCAGTTGAACCATGGCAACGCCTGCACTCTCCCGAGTTCTATTCTGGTTTTCCTTTGCTCCGAGACCAGCTGAGAGTTGACAAGCCTTTCTGTACTTTTGAAATGACCACGTAACACGCGTGCGTCTCTGTACAGGGCGTGTCTTTGTTGCTTTCCTGTTTTCTTACTCCTTGTCTTGTTGAAGGAAATACATTTTGCGCAACAATACTGCAAGGTAAAGTCATTTGCACGCCACACTCTGCAGCTCGGTTCGATACACAGCGGTGCGTGCATTTTTCGGAGGCTTTTCAATTTGGATAAGACATCGATTATTATTGCTTTTTTTTGTAGTAGTAGAAGTAGTAGTAGCTGTAGTTGACGTGCAATATGCTGTCCTCTGTATCTACAAAGCTCCGTATTGATGTCTATGATCCAAAATATTCTCGACCTGATTCTCCCACTGCACTCCTGCACATGTACTTGTTCTACTTCCTCTCTCTGTCTTATTCGGTTCCTTAGGCGCTAGACGCTTCTTGCGTCTTCCCAGGCGCACATTACTTGTCAAGCTGAACACACTTCTGTCACTGCCACCTGAAGATGGGCTCCAATCTTCAATTTTAGAAGAGGCTCTCTTAAGATTTGTTTTTCTTTTGAGAAGGGATGAACTGCAGTCAGGGAGAATCTAATAAGCCATGGAGGATCGGTTTTCAACAGAGGATGAGGGGCTCAATTCATTTTAAATTTAATTTGGAAGTGCGGCTGTGTGACTGTCACCTGAAATATACCAATGAGAAGATGACTTTGGACTCAATCGTACATGCACAGTCCTGTGTGACAGAGTTGCATTCAAACACAGTGGAACTTCTGACATTGATCTCGTTCCCTTCCTTGATGCCGGCGGACCTCTTCTTTCATTGAGGAACCAGTTTTCCCATTGGCAATATCCAGCTGTCCCTTTACTATACCACTTTTCCTCCGTTGTATAACAAAAACCTCCACAAAAAACTAAAAGTCAAATAAATGTTTATTTGCCTGAAATGTACATGCATAATCATTTGGAACGTAAGTGCTATGCAATCCTGCATTTTGACAAGGCCTTTTACAAAAGAACTGATGAGACACCCAATTGTGTGACTGCGAGTCCATCAGGCTGCTGTTAATGTTGCTCCACCATTATGTAGATTAGCCCTTTTCCCCTGAGTGCACGTTCGCCATTTAGAGCTTTCAATCACACAAATGCTTTATGGGAATACACACTCGCACAGTACAAAAGCACTTTCAATCATTGTTCTGTGCATACTACTCGTGACAAACACACAATTTGTGATGACATGCTGATTTTGTTCAATTAATCACATCTGTGCTTATGCATGCCCGGCGCACCCCCTGACACACACTGACAACAGACCAAGGTTATTCACTGTTTTTCAGGTCCCTGCTCATTATGGTCTACTGCACTGTGGTTATGAGCGCTGCTAGTGAGTGAGTGAGGGCGGAAGGGAGTACAGGGTGGGATTGTGTCTTGATTGTTTTTGGACAGCAATACTCAGCCACATGTTTTAATGGAAAACTTGTGATCAATACTCTCTTCAGATGAACCGCTCAGCATTTAAGTCCTGTGTTGGCCCTTTTCCACCGCGCTAGTGGCGATGCATGTGCGCACGTGTGTGTGTGTGTGTGTGTGTGTGTGTGTGTGTGTGTGTGTTTGTGTGTGTGTGTGTGTGTGTGTGTGTGTGTGTGTGTGTGTGAGAATGTGCACGTGTGCACCCTTGTGCGCTCTATCACTAGCTGGTAGAGATGTTGTAGTAGAGTTACGATGAACTCAAAGCAACACTGATGGCTCTGTATTTATCGTGCTGCTTTGCCCTGTTGCATAATCGTTACCATTCAAGGATGGCACAAGACTGCAGAAAGAGAAACCAACATTAAGTGCAAGAACATGTGCATTTTGTACATTTTTCACCACCCCCCCTCCAAAAAAATATTGAGGTACTATTTTTGTCCTGCATTCCGCTTCTGCAAAAAAAATACGATGCCTACTTGCTTAGTATAAGGCAGTAAGACTCAGTGTAAGTTCAGCAAAAACATCTGCCATCTAGTGATCATGGTGATATTACAACTAAAAACTACAGTCGACCCCAGCATATTCACAGTTCGACATTCGCATATTCGCAGATTTTTTTTTCTAGGATTTTTCAGGTATTTTTTTCTTCCATCTCTCCTGCTTTTTTTGTGGAAAAATATATCGAATGTTTATCATTGTTTTGTGAAGAATATTTTGGGTTTGTAAAATCCCCTCTAAAAATTTTAAGGTTGACGGGGATTAGTCAAAGGGTCACTCTTGAGTGTTTCATTTTTATTTGGTTGTGGGGTGGACTTAATAAACAGATCGTACGGGCAATGTTGGCTTTTCCCGGATCTACTGCTTGTTCCCTACGTGACATTGTTGCTGGTGCTTGTGTGTTCATGAGTATCCTGCTGGAAAAACCAACAAGAAAGGGAAACATGGGAAGGTTGATGGAGGCAGTAAGACCCTGAGGATGAACAGAGCGATGAGGGCGGGAGGAGGAGGAGAGTGTGTTCACTCCGAGCTCTGCGAGCCGCAGCTCGTGGAGTCAGTGTATCAGTGTGTGTCCCAGCCCGCTGCTGCAAGTGTGTGTGTATCACCGCGTCGCTGTGTACTCCAATGCGTGTGTGACTCCGGCGCTCTCATTGCGTACCACAGGTGGAGATGACATGACCGCGTTCGAGAGGAAGAAAGGGAAGGACCTGTAAGGGTTTCACACACATAGCTTTTAACTTGAATTCCTCTACACACGTGCTTAAATTCCATCATTCTTCAGCTCAGAAGTTACTAGATTAGTGTGCGTGAGTGGTTTTTACAGCAGCTTATCATCCTGTCAACGTTGACTGCGTGAGTGGACAGCAGACAAAAAAAAAAGAAAGAAAGCGCATGTGTACTGACTTTTCTTTTCTGCCTGCAGACGAGGTCAGCAAGTGTTACTGCGTCCAGAGGAGAGTTCAGCTCCTAGCTTGACAAGCAGACAGTCCACCACGTTTCCTGAACAAGTCCAGGTAAGAGCTCTGTCTTCCTCACGTGTCTTGTGGCCACATGGCCCGTTGCTCTCAAAACAGGAACTCAAACAGGATGCCCGATGCTTGCCACTCTCTTCTCCCTTCCCTTGATTTATTGTCATCGCCCTTATGCAGTCTGTCACAATCACGGGTAGATTATGAAACAAAGCTTTATGAAATCTGTCTCAATGACACACATGCGCACACACACACACACACACACATACACACAGTGTTCACTTGAGAAGCGCCAAACTTCTTTCTCCGTAGAAGGTACATTGGAGCTCCTGTTGCTGCAGCCTTCTTGTTCCCTCGATTCATATCACTTGTTGTTTGTGCGTGCGCGTGTGTGTGTAAGGGCACAGAAAAAAAATGTCATTAACATGAGAGGAGGCAATTAAAACCAGTCAGTGTTTGTTTGAGTGGTGGATGAACATTATTTTGTGTGTGTGTGTGTGTGTGTGTGTGTGTGTGTGTGTGTGTGTGTGTGTGTGTGTGTGTGTGTGCGTGCGCTCATGTCCTGGCCAAGCGTGAGAACAGACAAAGTAGAAACGAGCCAGAAGACAACCGCATCTTGTTAGGCATTTCTACCACGGTTTGGTTGCGCCGAGTGCTCCTCCGAAAATTGGCGGCCACACAACTGGCGACGAAGAACTGAGTCGAATTACACACGGAGTCCGTGTACGCTTCGTGGAGCCCCCCCCCCAGCCCCTTCC